ATCTCAGCTCACCGCAACCTCCGCCTCCTGGGTTCAGGCAATTCTCCTGCCTCAGCCTCCTGAGTAGCTGGGATTACAGGCACGCACCACCATGCCCAGCTAATTTTTGTATTTTTAGTAGAAACGGGGTTTCACCATGTTGACCAGGATGGCCTCGATCTTTTGACCTAGTGATCCACCCGCCTCAGCCTCCCAAAGTGCTGGGATTACAGGCGTGAGCCACCGCGTCCGGCTAACCCAATTTTTAAATATGTGCAAAAGACTTTTACAGATACTTAACCAAATAAGATATACAGATGGCAGATAGACTTATAAAAAGATGTTCCACATTATTAGTCATTTGTGAAATGCAAATTAAAATCATGAGATAACCACTCCACATGTATTAAAATGCCTGAAGTTAAAAAGACCATACCAAGTCTTGTTGAAGATGTACAATAGGAATGCTCATACACACTGTTGGGAATAGTACAACTGGTTTGGAAAACAGTTTGGCAATTTCTTAAAATGCTAATGTAGAGGCCAAAGCAACTCCATCTTGGATGCTAATTCTCTATGTTAATTTCTGATTATCCCCACTTAGAAAAGCCTCTAAGATTTCCAGTTTGACTCATCCTTGTGTAAGAGCACTACTTACTATAAATACTGTCCATAGATCAAAACAACCTTGATGTTATTCTTGCCATATATTCTGCCCTTAAGCAATTATCTTACACATTCCTTCTGAAGCACCTTTCTCTGTAGTACAGAAACCCTGGTCTGGTGGATAATGGTGGGGATCTATCATCTTGTCTCACTTCCTGAAACACAGTCATGCCTTCTGTTGGTAAGTCCCTATTAAAGGTTTGTTTCTAAGAAACTGGGTATGCCAACGTCTTTCTTTGGCCTCTCAGCTTTCTCGGACTTTTGGGGGAAGGTTTGTACAGGCCTGTCTACTGCAGAACAGTTAAACATACACCTACCATCGTATCCAGTCACTCCACTTTTAGGAGTGGCAGAAGGGAGCTAAAAACATGTCCATACAAAGACCTGTACATGAACAGTCATTACAGCTTTATTGGTAGGAGCCCCAAAATGGAAACAACCCACGTGTCCACCAATAGGCAAACAGATAAACTCTGACACATTGTCAGTGGTAATAAAAAATAGCATAGCCACTTTGGAAGACAGTTTGGCAGTTTCTTACAAAGTTAAACATACCACATGTTTCAGCAATAACATTCCTGTGTATTACACTAGGAAAATTAAAGCTTGTTTTACATCAAAATCTGTACTTAAATATTTATAGCAGCTTTATTTATAATTGCTTCAAACTAGGGATAACACACATGTACTTCAGTTGGTGAATGGATAATGAATTCTAATATATTCACATTGTGGAATAAAAAATACAGGAATAAAAAAATTACAAACTACTGATGTGCACAACATAGATAATCTCAAATGCATTGTGCTGAGTAAAATAAATCAGAAAAGAAAAGAAAACGCCACATGCTATATGATTCAATGTATATGATATTGTGAAAAGGCAGAATTGTAAGTCTAAAAAACAGATGAGGCTGGGTGCAGTGGCTCACTCACCTGTACTCCCAGCACTTTGGGAGCTTGAGGTAGGTGTATCACCTGAGGTCAGGAGTTCCATACCAGCCTGACCAACATAGTAAAACCCTGTCTCTACTAAAAATATAAAAAAATCACCATGCATGGTGACACATGCCTGTAATTCCAGCTACTCAGGAGGCTGGGGCAGGAGAATTGCTTGGACCTGGGAGGTGAAGGTTGCAGTGAGCCAAGATGGTGCCATTGCACTCCAGCCTGGGCAATAAGAGCAAAACGCTGACTCAAAAAAAAAAAAAAAAAAAAGAAGCCAGATGATATAAATCTGTGTTTAGAAACACCCTGTGTTCAGCTCTATCATCTAACGCGTCTCCGTATTGTTTACTGTATCCCTTATTATCAGTTTACTATGTCCCTTATTAACCTATTACCTAGGACTAAAGTTTAGCACAGTGGTTGGTATACAGCCAACACTCCATAAATTCTTATTGCTTGCAGAATTGCCTTGACCTGGGCCATGCACTTACAGAATGCTTGTGGCTCTCTGCTAGGCTCTTTCCTCTGTAAAAAATGAGTAACCCATGGGGCTAAGGAGAAATGCTCACCCAAAGCCTAGTTTCCCTCTTCTGGAGTCTAGACCATGTTCAGGGTCCCTATACCCCTGCAAATGACACCATGGCCTGCATGAACCTTTCTTACCTTTCTCCTGAGGGCAGACCCAGCTGCTAATGTGAGCACTCCTAGATCTGAATGGTGGCCAAGGCAAGGCTGTTTTCACGGGTATAGGCAGAAGCTGTTTGTGGCTTGGAGTATCAGGAGGGCATGGAAGACTCCTGGCAGGGAATGTAGGTGGGTGCCAGAAACCAGAAAAGGAGAATGAGAAAAAACTGGGGCTCATTTCTCCCCACATTGCCGTATTCCAACTATGTTTCCAGGTATTCTAAGGAGTCTAGGAATTCTGAAAAGGAACCTGGCCTTCTACATCGTTATGAGGTTTATTTGTCAGTGTAGGAAAACAGACTATATTTAACTTAATAATTTGTTATTTGATTTATAACTAAAATATTTAAACATATGGTATGGTGGATCCATTTGTACTCTTCCCCAGGGCCTGCAAATGTTAGGAGCTGGCCTGACCAAGGGAAACTAAAGATTACAAAAACAGTTGACCTTATCTTGTGGTTATAGAGGGTACATTTTATGAAATTACTGCCACAGAGTGGGTGGGGCTCCTTTTCTTCAAGCCACACAGAACGAATGTTCAGCGGTGTAATTTGATTGTAATCTATATTTGTTTCGCGTTGCTCATAATGACTCTTTTAGGATTTTCTCAAGTAACAATTTTATTGCAGTGTTCAATAATCCAAACAGAAAATTCTCTCACTTCATCCGGCTCTCATGCTAGGTTCACACCACGAATTGGCTTATCTCTGCTCTAACCATTTCCTTCACCAGAGACAGAGCTGGTGTAGCTCAAGGGAAACAGGCACCGCGCTGCGAAATGGTTAGGCCCCACTGTCCCCAAGCAAGTGCTCAGGGGAGCTCTCAGGCTGGAGAGACCTTTCGGGATTCCACCCTGGGTTCCTGAGAACCTGAGATCTGCAGGGAGTCGCGAGGCATCCGGAAACGCCCGAGGCTTAGGAGACAGACCCCCACCCTCAGACGCTCCTCTAGGAGGCGCTACAGGTAGAGGGGAGTCCTGGGACTCAAGGGGAGCCGCGGCACCCGCAGGTAGGATCACAAGTTTTGCTCACCTGGCCTGGCGGCGTTGCGTCGCCTTAGTAACCACAACTTCCGGCCAAAACCGGAAGTCCGCGCAGTGATTCTTCGGAACGGGCGCGCGTCCCCTCGGGGGTGGAGAGACTCAGCTCCGCCTACTCAGCCGTGAACCTGGGACCTGCCCTTCCCTAGGGATCCCGCGGACCCCAGAGAACCCACGCCTGAGCCCGGTGCGACTCGTGGCCCTGGGCGAAGAGCCATGGACGCCTTCATCCGCTTCACCAACCAGACCCAGGGCCGGGACCGACTCTTCAGGTGAGTCCGGTGCCGGCGGCCTCCGCCCCTTTCTCGCACTAACTCGGTGCCCCGGTGCCCTGGAAGGAGGAGGTGACAGCCTAGGAGGTGGAAGCAGGAAGGACATTGCCAGCTCCTACGGGGGCAGTTTAGTGTTCGAGCCCTTCCTCACTCTAAATTCAGCGGGGCTGGGCCCGACCCCTCGCGCCGTCCTAGCCTAGTGCACAGAAGCCCAGGGCCCGGCACCCCGAACGCCTCGAGACCGGCAGCCCCTTGACACCGGCTGCCAGATTCTTCCCCCCTCCCAGCTTTAATCCCCGGGCAGAGAAAGACTAGGTTCTCTCCACTCAACATTCTTCCGAGGGATCGCCTTTATTTTTAATTAATTAATTTATTTTAAATTTATTTATTTAATTGCTCTTGTTGCCCAGGCTGGCGTGCAAGGTCTTTAAAAAAGAGAAACTCTGGGTTAGCATTTATGGCCAGAGAAGCAAACCACGTGCTGTGGCTTCAAATAGCTTTTTTTTTTTTTTTTTTTTTGAGACGGAGTCTGTCTCTGTGGCCCAGGCTGGAGTGCAATGGCGCCATCTCAGCTCATTGCAACCTCCGCCTCCTGGGTTTAAGCGATTCCCCTGCCTCAGCCCACCGAGTAGCTGGGATTATAGGCTCCCGCCACAACGCCTGGCTAATTTTTGTGTTTTTAGTAGAAACGGGGTTTCACCATGTTGGCCAGGCTGGTCTTGATCTGCTGACCTCAGGTGATCTGCCTGCCTCGGCCTCCCAAAGTGCTGGGATTACAGACGTGAACCACCGCGCCTGGCCTCAAATACCTCTTGAAATGTTTGAGGAGAAACAGAAGTTTTATCTTCGTTGTCTTCCGTATTGCCCAGTCTGTATCAGTGACAAACTGCATGTGGAATAGTTTTGTAAATTGTAAAACAAAATAAAGCGGAGATGAGACCACACCAACTGGATTGGGGGCGGGGGGGGGAATGCAATGGGGAGAAGCTCAGAAAGAACTAACTGCACCTCTAAGGTTCATGCTGTGCTGCTGAAAATATTCAACAGAGATTGTGTCTTTTTTTTCTTTCGGTTCCTTAAGAACCAAAAAGCACTGACAGATTGTATCTTTAATACAAATACAGTACTAGTGCATGAGGTTTTAGAGATTTTGTTGATTCTTGCTTAATTAAAAAATAGTTACAGTTGCAGTTTTATTTAACAGCTCTTCCTTCTCTTCTGGGTCTGCAAGTGCTAATACCAATTATAATGGCACCAATAATCTGGCTTTTGGAAGTCTTCTTTCTGCCAGGTATTAGTCTCAGTGTTTTGCAACTATGAACTCATTTAACCCTCATCACAAGGCTGTGAGGTGGATACTGTAAATATTATCCCCATTTCAGATGGAGAAACTGAAACAGAAGGAGGTTAATAGTACTAAAGGGCAGAACTGAGAGATTCCCATCCACGCAGTTGACTCCGGGGCCCACTTAACTACCTGGCTATACTAGCTTTCTCATTCATTTGACAGGTTTTTAAGTGGTTGCTTTATATACAAGATTCATTAAATAGAAACTTCCTTAAATAAAAACCTGTAATTCCAGTATACCGAGAACATAGCCTGCAAGGTTTATCAAGGAGGTTGATTAAAAAAAATAATCATTTAGGCTGGATGCGGTGGCTCATGCCTGTAATCCCAGCACTTTGGGAGGCTGAGGCTGGTGGGTCATTAGGTCAGGAGTTGGAGGCCAGCCTGGCCAACATGGTGAAACTCCATCTCTACTAAAAATATAAAAATTAGCTGGGCATGGTGGTGTGCACCTGTAATCCCAGCTACTGGGGAGGCTGAGGCAGGAGAATCACTTGAACTTAGGGGGCAGAGGTTGCAATGAGCTGAGATCACGCCACTGCCTTCCAGCCTGGGCAACAGAGTGAGACTCTGTATTGGAAAAAAAAAAAAAAAAATCATTTAAGATTTGTTTATTATGCCCAGTGTGGTGGCTCAGCCCTGTAATACCAGCACTTTGGGAGGCTGAGATGGGCAGTCAGGAGTTCAAGACCAGTCTGGCCAACATGGTGAAACCCCTGTCTCTAGTAAAAATACAAAAATTAGCCAGGTGTGGTGGTGCCTGTAATCCCAGTTACTTGGGAGGCTGAGGCAGGAGAATCTCTTGAACCTGGGAGGCGGAGGTTGCAGTGAGCTGAGATCACACCATTACACTCCAGCCTGGGCAACAGAGCAAGACTCCATCTCAAAAAAAAAAAAAAAAAAGAAAAGATAAAAAAAGATACGTGTTTATTGCACAAGATCTGAGATCTCTAGCATCCGTTTCCCACCTCCTTGATGATCTCTTGATGAACTTTTATGACCACACTGGCATTCATAAAATAATGCCGTGCTTTCTGTGCCAGCAATGCTCACACAAACATGATGAATGTTTCTAAAACCTGCTGCACTTTCTATAAGAAATGTGGCAAGCACCAACTCCGCAAAGTGACAGTACAAGAAGGGCAGGAGTTCTCTGTGTGCCCAGGGACAGTGGCGTTATGACAGGAAGCAGAGTGCTATGGTGGGCAGACTAAGCCGATTTTTCTGGAAAAAGGCTAAAACTACAAAGAAGATTGTGCTAAAGTTTGAGTGTGGTGAGCCCAATGCAGATCTAAGAGACTGCCGGCTCTTAAAAGATGCCAGCATTTTGAACTGGGAGGAGATAGGAAGAGAAAGGGCCAAGTGATCCAGTTCTAAGTGTCAACTTTTGTTTTATTACGAAGACAGTAAAATCTTGAATTTATGTTCACTTCAAAAATAAATAAATAAAATAATATAATATAATGGTTTGTTGTTGGCCTGACCCGTATTATTAGACCAAAGCGCAGAAAGGGAGAGTCACTGACATGACTAGCCTTCTAGCCAGGAAGCAGACTTAAAAAAGAGAAAGCAACTGATGATTCCAGTCTTCTTTTTACTTCATTCTTAGTAACAAGTTCACTATTTTGGAAAATGGAAAATGTACCACATTTTTATTGAGAATAATATTAATAGCATAAAGGGATTCTAATTTACTTAGAAGACAGTAGGAACCAGACACCTACTTTATTAGTAGACTGCCAAATGAATTTGGATGCGTGACTATGATATAAAATTTCTCACACATTTATGTTTATCAGTAAACCATTGTTATTTGTAAGCATGACAATAATCACTTTATCAAATATATAGTATTATTCAACAGGATTCTGCCTGTATTTTATATAAAATACGAATGAATTTTGAAAGACAACTATGAAAACATATTTATACTAATTTATGTACTGGTGTGTCTTTGGTCCTTTCGTTTATAAGAAATTAAGCAATCTTCAGACTGTGGACTTTTCATTTGGTTCTGGTTTGGTTTGTGTGCTATCGCATAAATGGTAGGTTAAGTACATGATAGAAAGTTCATTTGGAAATCTGAAAATCAGGCCAGGCATGGTGGCTCACACCTGTAATCCCAGCACTTTGGGAGGCCGAGGCGGGCAGATCACGAGGTCAGGAGTTGGAGACCATCCTGGCCAACATGGTGAAACCCCATCTCTACTAAAAATACAAAATTAGCCAGGTGTAGTGGTACGCACCTGTAGTCCCAGATACTTAGGTGGCTGAGGCGGGAGAATCGCTTGAACTTAGGAGGCGGAGATTGCAGTGAGCTAAGATTGTGCCACTACAGTCCAGCCTGGCAACAGAGCAAGACTCCATCGCAACAGCAATCAAACAAACAGGAAATCCGAAAATCATTCTACACTAGGGAAGAAAAAAGTACAGAACTTTGCAGACTTAACATGAGGGAGATTTTTGTGCAGTTTCTCGCTTTGGCTATATCCATTTCTCTGTGCCAGCAAAAGGCCTTTTGGAGTTTATTGCAGAGTTTGCCTTCATTACCTTTGTGTTGCATTTCTGTGACATGTTCTGCCCTTTGGCTCTGCTGTGGAATGACTGTTGCAGAATTTTGCTTTTGTAAGAGTTGCTACATGAGAAATTGTCTTGGAAATGTTGTCTTCAGGCATGTCTCTTTCCCTTACTTCATGAATTAAGTTTTATTTGATTTGTAAATCATTATTTTCAATTTTTTTTCCATTTCAGAGCCACTCAGTACACATGCATGTTGCTTAGATATTTGTTAGAGCCTAAAGCTGGCAAAGAGAAGGTGGTAATGAAGCTCAAGAAACTGGAGTCCAGTGTGAGCACTGGCCGTAAATGTAAGTACCCTGTTTCTTGAGGGACAGTGGCTCCTGGTTTAGAATCTTCAGCCTCAGACTCTGTAATTCATGGAGTAATTTCTTGGTCATTAATTTCTGGTCAATCAAGTTTATTGATGAAATTGACCAGTAAGGCTGCTCTCATGGCACAGCAGGTTTGAATGTGTTGCTGCAGACCATTATAAACACCCTCTTCTGTTCACACCTGGTGCTACACCGCTTAGTCATAACCAGTGGGACATAACCGTGTTCGTTCAACTCTAGTTCTTAGACTCACAGTATGTTTAGCAGCCTCTGACGTGAGCTTCTGCTCTTGTGAACCCCTTTGTTCTAAAGAAGAGTAGAATCGTTATATCCTAGACCACCTGCCTCTTTCCTTTCTTGAGGAGTGCTAGAGGATATATAGGTGGATACAGTTTTATAGACCATTTGTGGGGCAGGTTTATGTTAAAGGTAAAAAGTGAAGTCAATATTTTGTGCTTATTTAGTTCACTTTATCAATATATCATATTGGGAAATCCAGTACTTCCCTTCTGACTGTTTGTTGTTTGATGAAAACCAGATGTTGCTGTAGTAGGTTGGCAGAGGCATTAGAATGGAATGAAGAGCATCACATATTGATCACTTGGTTTTGAGCAGCTGTGTCATATAGGTACATTCCTCAGCCTTATGGGGGAAGTAAGGTGCTTTAAATAATCACATATAAGATTTAGTGCCAAACTTGTTGGCTGGAGTAGAGGAAAAGAAAGGTGTTGAGGAGGAGGTGGAACTTAAGATGTAGCTAGAGAGAAGGAAGGAGAGAGTTTCGAAGGGCAGTTTCCTCTAGTAAAGGCTCGGAACTCTTCTGAGCAAACTATTGTAAGGGAGGATTATCTACGAACTAGCTTGACAGAGAGAAGATTTAAAATATCAAGCAGAGGGATGGGAAGGGTGGGGCAAGATTTTCTGGATGGTATTGAGGGCCAAGATTAGAAATTCTATTTAGATTATTTAGAATATTGCAACTCAAAGGTCCTTTAGAGGTCACTGGTCTCTAAATCCAGAAGAGGTCCAGGGTCATTCAGCCAGTTAGTGCAAGAGCCAGAACTGGAACCCAGAATCTATATACTAAAAATGGCCATTACATATACTACTTCACTATTTTATGTTATTTTTGCTAACAATACCAAATCTTCTTCTTCTTTTTTTTTTTTTTTTTTGAGATGGAGTCTTACTCTGTTGCCCAGGCTGGAGTGCAGTGGCATGATCTTGGCTCACTGCAACCTCCACATCCCAGATTTAAGCGATTCTCCCACTTCTGTCTCTCTAGTAGCTGGGACTACAGGTGTGTGCCAATACACCTGGCTAATTTTTATTTTTATTTTTATTTTTTTTAGTAGAGACAGGGTTTCACCATGTTGGCCAGGCTGGTCTCGAACTCCTGACCTCAGGTGATCTGCCCACCTTGGCCTCCCAAAGTGTTGGGATTACAGGCGTGAGCCTCTTCTGAGATGATAAGTTTTCTGAGAGTAGCTACTGAGCGCTGAGTGCCTTCTGAATCTAAGGTGTGGTCCTCCAAGGCAAAGTACTTCTTGGGTATCCTTCATGACATTTAGGACTAGAACTCTTTCTCAGAAGATGTTCAGTAAGTACCTGTTGATTGATACATCCCTAATGAATTGAATTGCATGCTCACATAAGGACATGCCATTGCAATGGTTGATTTAATTCAGCCAGGAGGTCTGTGACAATATTATTAATTGTCCTATTCATTAAATTCCACCATCTCTACTTTATTTTCTTGATAGTAGGTAGCCAAAAGGAGTTTGGACCAGATAAATGGCAAAATGATAATAGTATGTTTTAAAAAGACAGTCTTTTGTCTGGAAAATAAATAAAACATAAGGCATCAGACTCCCTAAGAGAGTACTGCATCTGGATTCATGTTATAGTACCTTCCTTCTAAAGAAGTGTAGCTGGTAAATAATCAAATATAACAATCCACACTCATGATTGACCCTGCCTGGAGTATGCCATCAGTCAACATTAAGGTGTTCATTGCAGTGGAGGAGGTAAATTTAAAGAGTCACCGTATTTTTTGCCTTCCAGAATCATTTTAGGTGTCCTTAATGTACTGTTTATCTTTTCTGAACAACGGCTGAGCCTTGAATGACCATCAGTTGTTAAAAAAATCACTGCTAAGCTGGGGGTGGTGGCTTGTGCCTATTATCCCAACTACTCTGGAGGCTGAGGTGGGAGGATTGCTTGAGCCCAGGAGGTTGAGGCTGCTGTGAGCTGTGATGGTGCCACTGCACTCCAGCCCGTGTTACAGAGCGAGACCCTGCCTCAACAAAAAACAACGCAAAGCTGGCTCCTCACCCTGATACAGGGATTCTACCTTCCCATTGTGTACTAATGAAATAACTGTTCACTATTGTGGGTTCTACTTGCAGGGTTCAGACTAGGCAATGTGGTACATGCTGTGCAGGCAACCGAGCAGAGCATTCATGCCACTGACCTGGTACCTCGCTTATGCTTAACACTAGCCAACCTGAACCGTGTGATTTATTTCATCTGTGACACCATCCTCTGGGTGAGGAGCGTAGGTCTCACCTCTGGCATCAACAAAGAGAGATGGCGAACAAGGGCTGCCCGCCACTACTGCTATTCTCTTCTGCTGAGCCTGGTCAGGGATCTGTATGAAATTTCCCTGCAGATGGAACAAGTTATACATGACAAGGCAAAGAAAGAGAAATCAGCATCCCAGGATCCTTGTGGGTACAGCGTGGCTGATGAAGAAACAGAATGGCTCCAGTCCTTTCTGCTTCTCTTGTTCCGATCTCTGAAGCGTCATCCTCCCTTGCTCCTGGACACAGTGAAGAACCTCTGTGATATCCTGAACCCTTTGGACCAGCTGGGGATCTGTAAGTCCAATCCTGGCATCATTGGACTGGTAGGTCTTGTGTCCTCTATAGCAGGCATGATCACTGTGGCGTATCCTCAGATGAAGCTGAAGACCCATTAGGGTGTTTGCAGGCTTGGAACTAGTACCTACTTTAAAAGATGGCCTCTTAGTGGGATAGACATTTGTGTAACTCACAGGCCATGTCACACTGCTTACGTTCTTGTTCATGTGAGCATTTAGCAACCTGTGATGTGTGCAGAGGTGAGGCCAAGAACAGAGAAGGGAGGAGCATGAAGAGTGGAATGTTTTTGGAGTGCTGGAGTGACTTGTGAATTTCTGAATATTTTCCCTTCATCTAACATTGATTGGACATCTCTTATGCGCATAGTAGGAGTTTAGTATTTGCTGAATGAATAAAAATTGAAAAGAAAAAATTTAAAAAGACCCAATCACACTGATCATTGAGGACTAATATACAGTAACTTTAGGGTTATGTGGCTCATTGTTGTCACAGGATTACGGCAGTCTGGTGCACAGTGCTCTCAGATCTAGTGCAGGCTCTGGTGTCAGCAGCAGGATGGAGGAGAGCTGTGCTTACAGCCTCCCAACTTGTTGGCCCTCACCATCACTGCACCCATGTCCCTGCTCAGTCCCGAAGGCGAATCAGAAAAGCATCAGGCACCTTCATGGAATAAATTGTGTCTGTGGGTGCAGTGAATAAGCAAAAATCAGGAGCAGACAGGAGGGACTCATAGAAATAGGTAGAGGTTCACAATGGGTGCCTATATGTAGCCTGTGACAGATAAGAGGCTGACAGTGAAACAAGCAAAAGACAACGGAGGCTAAAGCCTCGTTCCTCTGACAATAGACTCCTAATCCAGCAAAAAACAACTGAGGCCACAGCCTTGTTCCTCTGACTCCGAATCCAGTGTTCTTTCCATGCCATCCCACTTTCTTATTGAGTAGAACTGTGATCCCCTCCTGAATCCTGTTTTTTTGCCTCTTACCCTCTCACAATTTGGAAACTTCCTTGTCCAGTGGTTTATATTCTTTTGTAGAAAAAATAATGTTGGAGTGTGGTGGCTCACGTCTGTAATCCCAACACTTTGGGAGGCTGAAGCAGGAGGATTGCTTGAGGCCAGAAGTTCAAGACCAGCCTGAGCAATACAGTGAGACCCCGTCTCCACAGCAAAGTGTTAAGAAATTAGCCAGGCATGGTGGTGGATGCCTGTAGTCCCAGTTATTCCGGAGGCTGAAGCAGGAGGATTGCCTGAGCCCAGGAGTTAAAGGCTGCAGTGAGCTTCCACTGCACTCCAGCCTGGGTGACACAGCCAGATGCTGTGTCTTAAAAAAAAATTAAAACAGTATTTAGACTATCAGCTAGATTGTTTTATTTAAAGCCTAATAACAACTTAGGCAATTCTACATTAATTTCCATCAAAGTTTATCCAGTCAGAAAAATGTCATGAATACTGTAGATGTAAGAGGGTCATAATGTTCTCTCATAAATCAGATGTCTTATTTGTAGTGTGATTGAGGGAGGTGGAAAGAGCAGGAGGAAGCCAGTGAAGAGAACACTGGAGTGCTGGGTCATTGACATTGACTCGTGTTCCTGTCTCCCATCTTGGGTGTGGGTTCCTATATGTGGTTACGGATCCTTCAGTTTGAGGGAGGTGAGTGGAGAGATAGGATGCCCGCAGGTGGGAGGCTGATGTCAGTCCTCCCAGCAAAGCCATCTCATTTATCTGAATGGAAGCGAGAAAATAAGTATGTACTCAACAAGTAAAATTTCCCAGATATGTGATCGAGATTCTCAAAAAAATAGGCTCAGATCCTTGGCTGTCTGTTTAACCAATCAAGATATGGGATTTGAGAAATAAAATTTTGGTACTTTTAAGAGAAATGAAAGCTACTAGATCAGGGCAAATAAAAAGCTTAGATAACTTTTTATTGTCCAGATCCTCTACTGTAATAGATTAATTATGTTCAATAAATTTCTAGACAAGATTGACTTGTGTCTGAATGTGTTCTGGGAATAGAGAGGAGTTAAACGTAAGGCAATCCAGCAGGTAATCCCCAATCAGCCTACACAGTGGGTACAGGGAGCTCTGGGCTGGAAGATCTGGGCCGTGCAGGAGGATGGAGAAGGATGGAGATGAAGAGCCTCTGGGTGGAAAGGGACCTCTGAAAGCTCATCTAGACTGCTGCCATGGAGAGGATGTCTTACAGTGGCCCTGTCAATGGCTGGCTGGCTTCTGCCTGTATAAGTCTGCCTTGACTTCGTGGTGGCATGTTATGTTATGGTGGTATCCATCATGGGACTTGTGCTCTGCAAGTTATGGTGAGTTGTGGGGATGCTGGGAAATACTACCTCCTCTAGAGTTCATGTAAACCTTAATGGTGCCCTGGCACCTCCCTGTGAATCTTTCTCCCTTCTAACTAACATTTTCTACCCCAGAGCCTCCACCTTCATGAGGGATGCCACAAATCAAAGAAGCTCCTCATAGGTGTACAGCCCAGCACATTCACAGCTGAGCATTGCTGCCTGATAAGTCATTTATTCAATAATGAACGTTTGAGTGCCGTGCATGGTTTTGGGGATCCACTTGTGGGCAAGGTGACCTAGGTCCCTGCTCTCATGTGGTGGAGGGGTAGGGAGAGCAGGTGGGGATGGAGAAGGAGAGAAAATAGAACTCTACGCCCTGTGAGCTACTGCTAGAAAACTGACTCTTCTGCCTTCCCTTAGGACTCTCCTAGGCCCTTTCACCACTTCTCACCTCTCACCCACATTCTGTAGCCAGAGGACTAATTTAGTTGGCAGCGGTTTTGGGCACAGAGCCCTGGACTCCTCTGGCTCGAAGCCACTCCTCTGAAGGCTGAGAGCTGCCCTTTGGCCTAGGTTGCTGTCCAGTCACAGACTCACAAATGATTGTGCTGAACCTTGAAGTGAGGGCAGAGGCCACTTCTTTAAATACTTTGTCTTCTCCACTGCCTTACATTTTAAAAGCCCAGGTTGGATCAATAAATATTAAATGTATTAGGAGGCTGAGGCAGGCGGATCACGAGGTCAGGAGATTGAGACTACCCTGGCCAACATGGTGAAACCCCATCTCTACTAAAATACAAAAAATTAGCTGGGCATAGGGGTGCGTGCTTGTAGTCCCAGCTGCTCAGGAGGCTAAGGCAGGAGAATCGCTTGAACCCGGGAGGTGGAGGTTGCAGTGAACCAAGATCACACCATTGCACTCTACTCTGGTGACAGAGACTCCATCTCAAAAAAATAATAAGTATTAAATGTATTGCATAGTACTCCTCTGAAGCCTCCCTGCTTGACTCCTCCCTTTCCTGCCTTCTCATTCCCTACTTTATTACATCACAGATACGGAATTTATTATGAAGGATCTATCATAATTCCCCACCCCCACCTCTTGCTTCTCTTGCCCACAGTGTGCGACTTAGCAGAGTCAACAATACATGTAATTCCACCAGCAACAAGGAAAATAAGCTTTGTTTTCCTATTATCTGTTTTCATTAAGAGGTCCTCCTTAGATCATCTGAAAGCTATGGCTTACACCATAGTCCTCCATCATCTCTGAAGCCAGGGAGTAGATCTTGGGCTTAAGTCCGGGTTAAAGAAGGGTTGAGAGGTGCTAGTTCTTGGTTGTCTGGGTGCTGTTGATTAGTGAAAGAATCTTAGTCAACACTGTCACTTATCCAGGCTTACGAGAACAAAATCAACTTGGCTCTCCCCCTCCTCATCCTGGTAGCATCTTAGGCCAGGTAAAGTCAATACATTTTTTTGAACTCTAGGAAGTGGAAATTCCTCCCTCAAAGGCTATATTGTCAAAAATTCAGCTCCCAGCTGTATCGCTTCTTCATTGAGAGCAATTTATCTCCATAATCAAAGATGAGTACATGCAGATGAACTCTTCTGTGTGGGTTTAAATCTTACTATTCAAGGCTGGATGTGGTGTCTCATGCCTGTAATCCCAGCACTTTGGGAGGCTGAGGCAGGTGGATTACCAGAGATCAGGAATTTGAGACCACCCTGGCCAACATGGTGAAACCCCGTCTTTACTAAAAATATAAAAACTAGCTGGGCATGGTGGCAAGCGCCTGTAATTCCAGCTACTCAGGAGGCTGAGGTACGAGATTTGCTTGAACCTGGGAGGTGGAGGCTGCAGTGAGCTGAGATCCCACCACTGTACTCCAGCCTGGGTGACAGAGCGAGACTCTTGTCTCCAATAATAATGATAATAATAAAATTTTTAAAAACTTACTGTTCAATATTCACTCTTGCTAGTAAATAAGAAAAGATGAGAGAAATGAATTGAAAACTGTCCCGCAAGACCCTGCATGGAAAAGGAGTCAAAGGACTGGAGAAGTTTATAGAACTTCAGAGCTTTTACGTCTAACAAACATATATCCCAATCCTTCTTTCTGGAAAGCAGATTTTTGTGAATTGAGGGCAGAAATATTACAGAGCTGATGCTTCATGGCTCTGGAATAGTAAGTCCTCTGGGCCTGGATATCCTTCAGCTCTGCCACCTACCTCCTTGTTTGCTAAATGTCCTTAGAGAAGTTAGGATATGCCTGGGGAACCCTGGGTCAGATAACCATGACAACTGGCTGACCCTGCTTTCTCTTGGTCTCTGCCCTCCTCTAGCTGGGAGGCGTTAGCAGCATTGCCCAATACTCCCTGGGGTGATAGGAATTGTTTCTGCCTGAGGAGACACTCTGCAGCCTGGGCTCTGTGAAGCTGAGGTGGTGGTCAGCTAGAGTCCGCGTTGGGGTCCTGGGGCACCTGCCTTACCTGGCTTGTTTATGAACATTAAAGGGACGAGGTTGCAGGTAAGGGCCTCTTGGGAACATTGCTGGGAATGAAAAACAGCAGGGAAACTACTGAGGGTGAGAATCAAGGTGAATGACAGGAAGAATAGAGTAGCTATTCTGGGGCTACTGTCTTTTCCAGAACACAAATATATTGGCTTAGAAATAGAGGAATTGGAGAGGCACAGCGGATCATGCCTTTAATCGCAGTACTGCAGCTGGCCAAGGCAGGAGTTCAAGACCAACCTGGGCGACATAGTGGGATCCGGTCTCTACAAAAAAATAAGAATTAGCCCTGCATTGTGGCGCATGCCTGTAGTGCTAGCTACCTGGGAGGCTGAGGTGGGAGGATTCCTTGATCCTGGGAGGTTGAGGCTGCAGTGAGCCATGATCATGCCAGCACACTCCATCCTGGGCAACAGATCAAGACCCTGTCTCAAAAAAAAGATGGAGGGGGGGAGGGGGGAGAGAGAGAAATAGAAGAATTAACCCAGAGCCTTTTCAAAGATGAAACCTGAAACGTGTTTATTTATTTATTTAGAGATATGGTCTCATTATAGTGTCCAGGCTGGTCTCACGCTCCTGGGGTCAAGCCATTCTCCCATGTCAGCCTCAGTAGCCGGGATTACAGGTGCTTGCCAATGCACCCAGCTTGAAACTTGTTATTTTAGTCTCTTCTAGACCCAAATTCAAGAGCCTTAAGACTTCATCTAAAACTTTTTATCTCTTATGACTACCTGTATTTTTCATTTTCTAACCTGAACTCTTATAAGGAACATCAGTCTTGGCTGGGCATGGTGGCTCACATCTGTAATCCCAGTACTTTGGGAGGCCGAGATGGGTGGTTTACTTGAGGTTAGGAGTTCGAGACCAGCCTGGCCAACATGGTGAAACCCCGTCTCTACGAAAAATACAAAAATTAACCGGGTGTGGTGGCTCGCGTCTGTAGTCTCAGCTACTTGAGAGGCTGAGACATGAGAATCACTTGAACCTGGGAGGCAGAGGTTGCAGGGAGCTAAGATCATGCCATTGCACTCCAGCCTGGGTGACAGAGTGAGACTCCATCTCAAAAAATGAAAGAAACATCGGTCTTGCCAAA